TTATTTAGTAGATTTTCCACCGCTGTTTACAACAGATTTAAAAAGTGTGATCAATTTGCGAATCATGAATTTATTATGGACAATCATGCGATTAATTGTGGCCATATATTTTAATCAAATGACAGCACTATTTTTAATACATATGTAATGCCAGTTTTAGCCATTTAAAGTGTACATCACAATAAAGTGTACATGAAGTGTGTGTGTAGACATTCTGTTTTAAGTGGCCAAAAATGGCATTTTCTTTAATTAAGCAAATAATGTCCCCCAGACTCATTGTCCTAGTATCTCTGGGATGCCCTAATTGGTAGGGACGTATCAACCTGACTTCTTTTCCCCTGATACCTGTGTAATACCCAAACTCAGGTTATGTGCAAATACTACATACCTGTCTGATGACTTGGCCTTAGTCTCCAGATTTTAAAATTTGTACCTCACTCAGATAAATAAGATAATTATTAAGGAACAGATGCACTTCTTTTGAAATAAGATAAGCAGAATGACTGACTTTAAACTCTCTAATATTAACATAAATCTAGATGTCTCTGACACAATGCCTTAAACTCCAAGTGACAGCGCTCTCCAAATGTTAAACGAAAGATTGATTGTCATTCAGTCTGGAAACACTGTAAACGTACAATTCTACAGCTACAATATCACATACAGACCCGCTGCCCACTACACATCACCCCTTGTATGTGTCAGAAACTGGGACTCAGTAAGTCAAAGATGTGTAATTTCCACAATGTGCACTATGTAGGCTACGCCTTTTATTTTATCCAGCTCTTTATTTCTATGTGATGGGTCTTGTCACTTTAATGAATTGTTTTGTAGGTAAACCATGCAGAGAGATGAGTCTATTTTCTTCTAAAAACAGTTTCTGCCAGCTCCAATACACTTATTAGAGGCTTGTATTTATGCATTGATATTTGGACACTGAAGTTCTCTCTTTGAAACAGACTAGAAAATTCACCAGTCGACCAATTTTGATGAATACTGGAATTTGCAATCAAACAGGTCTGTGTCTTCTATTCTCCATCTAAAAAGACAGACCACATGCAAAGCTTTCTTTCCAGTGTGGGAAGCACATTGTAAAGTGTCATGCGATGTAATCTTTCTAAGGGTCCTGCTTTTCTGTCTTTGAAAGAAACACCTGCACACATGCTTTTTCCTCTCCCATGGATAGCTGCTTCATCAATGTCAGCAGGCAATGCTGGAGTATTGTTCTTATTGGAAGGCAACATCACTGCACATAGCATGCCATTCATTTCAGCTCATCGGGAATCTAATCACAAATTGACAACATCTGTCTGGGCTGCTGTAGTTCTCTTAGTCATGAATAACACTGCCAATTTTTCAAATGATTGGGCTTCAGACACCATGTATGCTTTCTGCCTCACAATTTACTTGTCAGGACTCAAAATCCGAAACTAGAACATTATTAATAAAAAAATAAAGCCAGGTTTGTAGTGATAAAAATAATCTTGTTTCAAAGTTGAAAACATTTTAAATCACTCAAACATTGTCCATATTTACATATAAATGTTTTATTATTCTGCCAACTTAGAAAGGAGCAACCCTGCGGTAAACATAGTTGCAATTGCAACTGCTCAATACCCTACCACCACCCCTCATGACCCCCAACCCCCAATTGAAATATTATAACTTTTTCTGGTAACTGGTCAAAAACCTAAGTACTGGACCTATTACCATTTGGATGTGATGTGATGTGATTTGGAAGTGACCAGGTTATTACAATTCATTCTGAGGGGAACATGAACGCGTTTACCAAATTTCACTGCAATCTAGTTACCAAGATATATTGAAGGGTTTGACCACCTGACAGACCAACATTGCCATCCTTAGAGCAACGCCATTAGTGTGGCTTCAAAAATATAATCTTGGTGACATTCTGTAAACAAATTTGCTGTTGCAAATGATATAGCAAACAGAATTTTTAGAATACAGAGTTAAAAAGAAGTGCATCTGTTCCTTTAAAAATATCACTAGAACTGGAGGTGTGTGGTTATCCCATACCAGCAGAGTTTGCTGTTTCTGTTTCGACACTGCTTATATATGTACAAAGAACCACTCTGGCAACTTTTCATTGTAACTTATAGCCAACACTGATAACACAGCAGGTCAGTTACACTTCTAAATGACAGCATACAGTACATTGGAGTTTTATTTCAGTCAGTAGCAGTTTTAAAAAGAAAGGTACAAACTGTCATCTGAGAGACTGTGCATTCCTATTCACTTCAACCTATTCACTTTAATGAGTCTTAATGGGTAGAAGGGTTCTATATTGCATTGTCCCCTGAATAAACTGTTTTCTCCAGCCATATATCTTCTAATCCTTTTAGTGGCCAGCAGCCAGTGATTCAGAGGATACTGCTGAATAATTTATGTAGTCCCCACTGAGTGGAAACGGGGACTGAGTCTTGCAGTGCACAAAAAAGGCAAGACTTAAATTGACAGGGTACATATATTAAGTAAACGACCATAAAAGCTACACATTTATGGGCCGCTCCTCTCTGCACAACTCTTACTTATGTCACCATCTCTATTGAAAGATTTACTGGGATACACTGTATAGGCTTCACAGTCTTCCTTCATTCAAAGGTGCAATGGCAACAGGATTCATATTAAACAGTGAATTTGACAATCACTGAGTATACATTTTGTTAAGGAACTTCAGGATCAAATTAGACAGTGCAAATTTAATACTGTTCACTTATTTCCATATTTCTTCCATGTTTGCCAGAGCCAATTTTCTCATGTCAACTGTCTTTTTCATAGTCTGCATCAGTGGCTCTTACAGTACATTTGCTCATGTTCCTGACACCATGTGAGTGTGAACATTTTAAATGATATGCCATGGAAAAACAATGATCAAAGACAAGGCGGACTGCACTGCAGATTTGAGACTTTCCAGAAATGCAGTTTAATAACTCAGGTAGAAGGCCACTTTAATGCTGCAGTAACAGACACAAACACTATTCTCTTTGGGAACAGTCCATTATTGCTGGTGACAAACATAAAAACCAAACGGTGAGGAGCTAGTTGGGAAAATGCCACTCTGCAGGAGAAGCATTTTATATTCTGACTCCCAGCGAGAATTTCTCCGGCTGCCCAAACATCTCCCCACACAGTCCGTCTTTTCATTAGTGTAACTCAGAGAAATGTCAAGTAAGATAAGCTATTATCTTTCCTGTTGACAGTAACACATACACACACATAAACACAGCACCTCAGGCTCCCTGACTATATGTCTGTATTGTTCTTTGAATGAAGTGGGATTCTATTGCTTCATTTGCCACTACTCCTGCTGCTTTTGGTAGAGTTGGTAGTAAGTAGTTGGCAATTTCACACCACATGGCAACCAATGAACATGCTTTCTTTGGTTTTCTCTTTATAAGTCAGGAAAAATATATGTTGTTGACAGTTTCCACAAAAAAATCATTCAGTATGTTTGTGTTTCAGTGGTTCTGGAACACCTGTTCTTTAGTTTCTCCTCTCCTTTCTTATTTTGTGACTTTGTGAACATATCCTGAGTGAAGCTGAGCTTGCACTGAACAAAATGATGATCACCATTAATGGTACACTGCAAAATGTTAATTTATCATCCTGTACTGGCAACATTGGCTGATCTCTGGTACAGTTTGTAGCAGCTTGTATCAGACAGAAATATAACAATATTGCGTAAAAGAAGCTAATATTAGCTTGTTAAAGAAGCACCCGATTCTCTGTTTAAAAAAGAAAACATCAGATTGGGTTCAGACCTCAGGCGGGTGTTACTAAGTATATAATCAGTGTAAATGGTACCATCTGGCAAGCTGTCTTTTTTAATGTAATTACAATGCACTTCAAACAAATGGTCTGTGAGAAGATCATGATATTAGAGTAATTATTGGGGAATAAGGTGGTGGAGGGCCACTGTATGGACTGTGAGAACCAGTTTGTGTTGGCTCTAGATGATGTGAGAGGAGAGAGAACAGCTGGGCTGTATGCATTCATGTCATGTTGGACACTGAACATCTGATCCTATAGAGAACAGAGCATGACTCACACTACTGAATGCTCAGTGGGAAGCACAGTGCAGACACAATTAGTACACAGAAAAGACATGCATGCACACACATACAGCCACACAGAGCTTCTTGGCTCTCCTTCAGGCTGTGACTTGCCAACTCAATACAACAAACCAAACCAGCTGTGGCCACCAGCCAAATTGTTGTTGATTGGTTTTGGGTTCTGTCAGGCCACAGGTTGCGCAGCTTTAACCCTGCAAATCCACCAAGTTGAAAGGGAAACAAGGCCTTAGTCAATAGACATGGCATTTTCCAGGCATTTTTCATCATAAATCCTCTTGTGGTAAATGTTAACTCAGAAGCTACAGATGTGTATCCTACTGAAGGAAAACAACTATTCTGAACGTGGGTGAATATTCATATGAAGCAAGTGTTGGAGGTGTGTGTTGTGTGGGAATGTCGACATCAGGACACTTGTGTAGGAAGGGTGGTTCAGTCACCTTTACACTGAGGTAATGCTGTTGAGCTGTTGCTGCTCTGCCTGACGTTTGTTTTGCAAATTTTCTGAATTACCTTTGGCAGTCAAAAAAAAAAAAGATGAAAACTTTCTGAAATATCCACTTACAGTGGGGAGGTTAGGATTTTAGATAAAATGAACAAAAATCTCTTAAGAATCATAATAAATAAAAAGAAGTCTTACAATTTCGTGCTAAGATCTCATTCTGTACAGCATGACATCTAACAAATTCAAGCTGCACTTGACAAGTTGGAGCAGTTGTTGCTCCAAAGAGTAACCAAAGATTGTTATTTATATACATGGCAATCCTCTTTCATACAACTAACTGCACATGGAAAGCTTCAGTTTATAAATCCACCAACTTCTTATTTTTCTACCTGTATAAACCCTCTAGATGGAGCACTCTGTTACAGGCTTTAAGATGTAAACTAATAAAAACCTTTGTGGCTTACCTCTTGGTGAATGATGCTTCCATATGATGTTGGCCTCAGGTCGACCAAATGCCAGGCACATAAGATTGACGTTGCTGCCCTCATTCACTGTGATGTCCTTCGATATATTAGTGATCCTGGCGGGTACTAAGGGGAGAAAGAAAATCATGATTGATGTTTTTAGCTTAATTAATGACACGTGAGCAAAGAGATCACTATTCCATGTGAAGAGAACAGTGATGAGGTTAAAAATAACCCCGGGTTGGGGACTCAATTAGCATGAAATTAGCTGACAAATTTGACAGTTCTCTGGCTCGCTGTGTTGTTATGCAAGACTGATTTTCTTCTTCATCATGCATCTTTGGCAAACTACTCATTAGACAAGCATCACACTGATTTGGAGTAAGACATGATTTCATCCTGCTCAGACCAGCTTGTGTTTGTGTGTGTAAGTCTGGGTTCTTGATTAAGTGTACCCTGTGAGATTTTAACCTGAGATCAAGGATCACAGTTTCGTGATCCTTTTTTCACTGTAGCATGATGACTTCAACTTTAGGGTCATTAGTGCAAAGAACAATATGGGCTCTCACTAAGGAAAACCCACAATTGAGTTGATGCTGAGATTTGTCTGCTACTTGAACACTGGTATGATGTAGTAGCCATGCTATATGGCTATATAAAATAAACCCCTTAATAAATTATAAATAAATTTGATATTTGGCATAATTTTCATGATCAGTAACACTTGATTTAAATCTCAGTACATACAGGTGCATCTCAAAAAAATTGAATATTGTGCAAAAGTTATGTTTGCTATTTATTTCTTTTTGTAATTTAATTCAAAAAGTGAAACATGTTCTCGCGTCAGTGAAATATTTCAAGCAATTTTTTGTTTTAATTTGGATGATTAATGCTTAGAGCTCATGAAAATCCTGTATCTCAAAATAGTAGCATTTCTTAAGATCAATCAAAAATTGTTTTACAATACAGAAATGCCCAGCATCTGAAAAGGAGGCGATCAGCCTGTGGTGTTGCTGGGGCAGTACTGAAGACCAGGTTACTTTGGTAGCATCCTTCAGCTCATCTGTATTGTTGCATCCGGTGTTTCTCATCTTGGAATTGACAGTGGGTCAGGCAACTTAGCTGGCCAATCAGGCACAGTGATATCTTGGTCAGCAAACCACTTAGTGGTAGTTTTGGCACTGTGGGCAAGTGCTAAGACCTGCTGGAAAAGGAAGCAGGCATCTCCATAAAGCTTGTCAGCATGAAGTGCTCTAAAATCTCCTGGTAGATGGCTGCATTGACTGTGGGCTTGATAAAATACAGCGGGCCAACACCAGCAGATGACGTCACCGACTGTGGAAACTTCACACTGGACTTCAAGCAACTTGGATTCTGCGCCTCTCCACTCTTCCTCCAGACCCTGGGACCTTGATTTCCAAATGATATGCAAAGTTTACTTGCATCTAAAAACAGCACTTTGGACCACCGAGCAATCGTCCAATTCTTTTTTCTCGTTAGCCCAGGTAATATGTTTCTGATATTGTCTCTGGTTCAGGAGTGGCTGTAGCCCATTTCCTGAAGACACCTGTATGTGGTGACTCTTGATGCAACGACTCCAGCCTCACTCCACTCCTTGTGAAGCTCTCTTGAGTTCTTGATTCAACTTTGCTTGACAGTCTTCTTAAGGCTGCAGTCATCCCTGTTGCTTGTTCATCTTTCTACCAGACTTTTCCCTTCCAGTCAACTTTCCATGACTATGCTTCGATACAGCACTCAGAACAGCCAGCCCTCTCAGCCATGACCTTCTGTGGCTCACCCTCCTTCTGCAGGGTGTAGATGATCATCTTCTGGACACCTGCCAAATCAGCAGTCTTCCTCATGACTGTGGTTGTGTACACTGAACTAGACCAACAGATACATGTATAAATACTAATTTACTCAAACTCTAAATGAAATATTCTAATATTTTGAAACACCAGATTTTTGGATTATCATAGAGCTGTAAATCATGATCATTGAAATTAAAATGAAAATGGCTGGAAATATTTCATTTTACATGAATCTAGAAAATATGAGAGTTTCTTTTATTTTTATTAAATTATGAAAAAACTACCTTTTCCATAATATTCTAATTCATTGAGATGCACTTGTATTGGACATTGGAAATGCAGTATGCGATGCAGTGGTGGAGGTGAGCTTATGACAGGATGACAAGATTACATTTAAATAAATGCAATGACCCAAATTAAAGTGACTTTAAAAATAAAATAAAAAACCTGTGTTATCCAGCTGTTCAATAAATAAAAGGTGTTGTCTGTGCTGGGGGATCAGGGCCGGAGTGATGTTACTCTGCATCCCATTGACCTTTGAATTAACACATTCAATTAGCCAGCTCTGCTAAAGCTTTGTCAACTGGTTCATTTAGGGCAGTGTGCAGCCTAGTTTTTTAAATGCCACACAAAAACATGCTGTTGACACAGAACCTGCTTTGTACTCCATTGTAACTAGTATATAACATTTTCTAATGTGATTCAGGTAAACAAATAAAGTCATAGTCACAGATTTTTAATATATTTTTAAACCAATAGCAGCATTTTTAATGTTTCTATTTTAGAGCAACTTAAATGGAGCAGTAGCTCCCCTTTAAGCAATTAGTTAAAGGGGAGCTACTGCTCCATTTCTCCTTTACATTTACAGATACTGTACATTTCATTCTGTTTATTTTTGTATTCTGTATATTGTTTTTATATTGCTGCTACTACTTGTATAGTTTTGTTTTTAATTCTTGTTTTATGGTTTTTATGAGACGACAGCAAACAAAGAATTTCAATGTAGAGTAGAAACTGTGCATATGAGAGTAAATGCCTTAGACGTTTTTTGAAGGTGCACCCATTCACAAAACTCTACTACACAAACAGAAATGATGTCAAAATTAATATTATAATAAGGACAGTTACATGAAACATTCATTCCAGACTTACTCAAAGCATACAGTATAAGTGGGCCAATGTGGGAGCTGGATATTTCATAATTATTAACTTTTTTCACTCATGTTCTTTTAATTGGAATATTTTCCTTTTAAAGCTGTTTGTTCTTAAATTGGATAGAGATTATATAAACCATATTAATATGGTCACGTGCCAAAGCCATGACATGTTAGAATGCTGAGCTAAGTGAAACTTTGAACCATATATTTTAAAATTTTAGAGTTCAAATACTTTTTTTATTAAACAGTAATGTGACCACAGGCCACAGTGATGTTACACAGACATGTAGCTGTCTCCTCTGCCCCATCATTCTCTTTTCTGTGTAGAGATAAAATGCACAGATGCCCAAGTCATCAGTGCATTCACCAATCACATAAGCGTCCATTTGGATATAACCTAAATTTTCCTATGGTGAAGAAAGCATTATCTGAGCTGGATTTGTAATATTATCAAATAAAAGTGGGCCAATATAAAAGCTGATAATATAGATATTCAGTAGGAAAAGTAATCACTGCCTGGATTATGTTCAGATGCAACTTTTGTTTTAAATGATGGAAGCGCTACACATATTAGCAGCAGCAGTCCCCTCTGTGGTTGGGTTCAGGTGACAAAAGCAATTCTTGTTGTTACTTCTTGTTGGTGGTTGTGTATTTAAAAGGTCACCTAACGTAAAATTTAAAATGCTTTTAATACTGGAACGGGAGTAGCGATGTGTTTTACCATATACATATGCCAAGAATCAGTTTCCGATATTTTCCATGAACCGGGGTGTTTAGGATAGCAGTATAGCAATCCAATAAATTTACAGCCAATCTGAATGATGCTATGAAGAGGCATCCCCACAGTAGTCTTCTGTTCACAGCAATTAGACTACTGCCACAGACCTAATGTGGTAATGATTCATCAAGGGCAAAATGCAACATGTGGTGTCTTAAAGAGCCTCTAAATAGGGAGGGGTGAAGCACAGTGGTTTGAGGACACAGCAGACGCCACTTTCCCAGGCACAGTGACCTCCGGCAGAGATGAATGAACAAGCTGCTCCTCCAGCTTGATAATGCCAGTGGCCAGGTGATTAAAAACACAGCTCCCTTGCCACCAGGGCTGCTGGTGGATATGACTGGGGGCCCAGGGACACGTCAGTCTTCATGTTGGTGCAGCCAGTTTGTTACAGCCAGTAATTAATTAGAAAATGAAATCAAGAGGCTGCCCAAAGAGAAAAGGGTGCTTTCTTCTAGCTGTTTATTTAACATCAGGCCTCATGTGATGTGACTGTATATCTTTTATAATAATAAACCATCACTTTGTTGGTAAATGTGCTTGATTCACACAGAGAAGTCGATACAGGGCACATGTCAAAGTGTTTATTTGTCATATGCACAGTTAGAAAACGTGTTTCCCTGTACAATGAAATTCTTACTTCGCTGTCCACATGAATGCCACAAAATACAAATGACATATAAAGTAGATAAATAAGTAACACAAAATCTAAGGCACTTTAAGCAGCAAATGCAGCAATATAATAAAAATATATAAGAATATAATAAGAGAATGTATGCTGCATGGGAACAGCATGTGCAGCAGTCAACAGTCAATGTGCAAACCGAGAATGTAAACAGTACAGGTCGACAGTACATGACGTTTTTCCTGGTAATAAACTCCTCCGCTGTTTAGGAGTCTGATGGAGGAGGGAAAGAAAGAGTTTTTCAGTCTAGTGGTCCTGGTCCTGCATTTCACACTTCGGACATGTACAACAGTGTGTCATTATCTGCAGGGCACAATCACATGACTGTATGGTGTTCATTGTTACAATACCGTACATTGTTGTCTGTCAGAATATAAATATGTAATTCCTGTGAGAATGAGAAAAGATTTCAAGAAAATGGGTTTAGGGGATGGCACTCTTCAAATACAAGGCTTTGAGAGCATTACAAAACACTTCAAAATTACAAAGTAAAGCACACAACAAAATTTACTTATACACATAAAAACTTACTTAATTTGGCCCATGTGTTATATAAGTGTATATTTTATTTTGAATCATTATTTCTAATATATTAACATACTATACATGGAGTATAACACCTGTTATACCAAAAATAAAATATTTATCCTCAAAGTACAGTAGCTATAGCAAGACAAATGAAAATCCACTATAAG